TATTTGTAAAAATTACCGAATTTAAAACCATATATATAACTCTTACAAAGAAATAGTTAAAAACAAGAAAATTTGAAAAACTCGTCACTAGTCCAAATAATAGTAAATTATTATGTAAACTAATAGAGTTTACTATTGCGCTTTTAAAATTTTAGATTTAAGTGATTTTTGGTAAATCAAAGCTTATATAATTTTTTCATTGTTGGACATGTACAAAAAGCACCACAAGCTTTGGATCACAACTATACGCTTATATTAACATATGTGTTCATCTGAAGAAAACTCATTTTATAGATTCTCAATAGAAAGTGCAATGATCAAAATAAATGATTTTGTGTGTGTGTCTGTATTTTAATTTTTTTCAATTTATCATTTGGTCTCTGTTCCATTTCTAAAACCTTGAGTCTAAATAATGTGCAGGTTCAAGGATGGATAACCACAAGATCTGGTACTGAATCCCTAAAATTCTCTGCAATTTTCTTTTGAAGATGAAAGACATTGGTCCTTCACGATCGATGGTGGTTGGAGCTGATGAAATTTCACTTAACCGTATTATTGGTTCGATTTCAACTACAAGGTTTGGATTTGGTTCAAATTTGGTTCTGGTTACTATTAAATGAGTTTGGTTAGTTATATTCTATTTTGGACTTCCAGAAAACTGAGCCTCAAAATATAGGCTTTGTTAAAACTCTCTGGTCTCATGCTTTTAATTTTAAAATCTTTTAGCAAAAAAAAAAAAAATCACTAAATCCTCTGTTTTTCAACAACTCAGCTTCTTTTATGGGCTTTTTTTGTCTCGGCCAAAACTGTATCTTTCTCTTACTCTAAACTCTTGTAACAATTAAACATGAGCCCACTTTGTTTGGCCCGAAAAAGGCATAAACAAATGAATCTTTTTATTTTTTTTTATTTACAAATGAATCTTTGAAATTACACTTGAATGAATTAGTAGCCATGTGGTTTTGACCGGACCAGCTTTTGTAAGATTGTGACTACTGACTAACTAAGAGAAAAGGTAAAGCAAAGGATGTTACAGTATTTCGTTTAATGAACAAATTAAAGAGGGATAAAATCAAAGGAAGAAAAAGAGAAAGAGACTCATGTGTCAGTTTTGGCATACCTAAACCAAGCAAAAATTGAACTTTGGTGTGCAATGTCCATACTTTGAAGGTTGTAAATTTATCTCTGTTCTGTCTTAATCTTTTGTGTCAAAGATTCAAAAGCAAAACATGATTTTTTTCGTTACACTATGTTGGCTTGTGGTTATTTTGATTTCCAAGTGAGTATTATTTTATTTTAATTTAAAACTTTGGGTTTTACACGGAGAGCTATTACAGGGAAATGTCTCTTCGTTTTGCTGTTTCACGAAGTTGCTTCCAAACACATTACAATTACACTAGGCGTGATTTAGTGTGGTTGTTAATTTTTTTTTTGTTAATTAGGGTTTTAGGGTTCTCCTCTACCCAAAGAATCCAGCTTTGGTTTCTGTAATGAATTTTTCTTGTATAAATCTCAGATTTAGTTGTTGGGTCAACTTAAAATTGATCATAGCACCTGCAAATTGCAGTTTTTGCTATTGATTATTCTTCCATTTGTTTAATAAGGGATAAAAATGAAAAGATGCTTCTTGTCTACCGTTGTGGTGGTTTTCTTCTACTGATACCAAGATGCTGTTTTTTTTTTTTTATAATAAAGTTTGCAGGTTCCCAAACTTCTACGGTTGAATAAACTAATACCAGAAACATGTGCTTCAAAGTTGGAACTTGAGACTTGAAGAAACACAACACAGTCACAAAACAGGTTAATAATATACCACATTACATTAATTATATAATTAACAAACAAAAAAGTACAAGTAGTGATTAAGAGGATCTTGATTCTTGATTCGGATTTGCTCTTGAGACAATCTGCTACGGTATTGTCCCCTTCGTTTGCTGCGTTTAGCCGCGCTTCACGGCTGTTTGCTACTCTCAAAGGAAGCAATCTACTTCTCTAATTGGCTTTTCCATTGAAAAGAGAACCTTTTTATATTTGATTATTCTACAAGTTTACAGTTTAATAAAGAGGTGATCAAAGTTTTCATAATGTTGCTAATCTAATTGGTTTTAGAGTCAATTCTCTGCATTTGAGCC